AGGTAGGCCACTTGAGGGCACAAAGGGTGGTAGGGTTCCCAAGGCCCCCATTGTAGTGGGGGCAGGCAGGACACCTCATTTCCCCCATTCATCCCCACTCCCATGTACCCCCAGAATCTGGTGCTCCCCGACACCTTCTTCTCCTTCTACGACCTCCGCAGAGAGTTCCATATGCAGCACCCGAGCACCTGCTCTGCCAGGGATCTCACAGTGGCCACCATGGCGCAGGGTATCTGACCCAGCAGGGTTAAGGTGGAGGGTGGCTGGAGGCTGTGTGTGTTTAAGCATGTGCATGCTGCTGGGTGGGTTCTAGAAACAAAGGCAGTCTGCATTGTCTGCTGAATCCTGGAGGGTACCTGTGTCTGTGTCTAAGCTGGAATGCATTTGGAATGTGGGCATATGTCTCTGGGCTGCGGACCTGTATGTGCATGCACGAACTGGGTGAAAATAAATGTGTATATTTGCTGGGATTCCGCATGTGTCTGAGAAGGGGACTTGGACCCAGTTATGAACACGATTAGTGCTCATGCTGGATGCCCCAGTACGTCTCACACTGGGATATCTTCATTGTCACTTCTCTACCCATAGACTTGGGATTAGAGACAGATGCCACAGAGGATGACTTTGGGGTCTGGGAGGTGAAGACCATGGTGGCTGTCATCCTCCACCTGCTTGAAGGACCCAGTGGTAAGGCTCCCTTACTGCCTGTCACCTGCTGTCAGGGTTGGGAGAATGCCTATTACGTCCTCAGTCTTTTTGCTTACTTGTGATTTTCTCTAAAAGAACACAGGTTGAAAGCCCCTTTGTCACCTCCTTATCCCCCTCAACTGTCCTCTCTTTGCAGAGCTTGGTGGGGAGACCTCCTCCACCAGACCCTGCTGACTCCCATGCCATCTCCTCTCAGGTCAATTGTTTTCGAAGCCCGAGGTGGTAAAGCAGAAATATGAGACGGGGCCTTGGTGAGTGTGGGAGCAGGGGTGGGGGTGACACGAGTTGGGACAGTTCTGACCCTGTGTCCTGCCCCCGCAGCAGCAAGGCTGATGTGGTGGACAGTGAGACTGTGGTGCGGGCCCGTGGGTTGCCCTGGCAGTCATCAGACCAGGATGTGGCTCGCTTCTTCAGAGGGCTCAACATTGCCAGGTGGGTGTGGCAGGGTGGGAGGGCCATGAGGGCAGGTCTGCCCAGGAGGTACTAACAGTGCTGGCTCTGCAGGGGTGGTGTAGCACTCTGCCTCAATGCCCAGGGCCGAAGAAATGGTGAGGCCCTCATCCACTTCACGGACAGGGAGCAGCGGGACCTCGCACTGCAAAGACACAAGCACCACATGGGTGTCCGCTACATTGAGGTGGGACTTGGGGCTGGGAATGGAGCAGGGCAAGGCTGAGTCAGGCCTGAGACTCATGGGCTGTTCACTGCGTACCCACAGGTCTATAAAGCAACAGGGGAGGAGTTTGTGAAGATCGCAGGGGGTGAGTGTGCTGCCAGCAGTGCCTAACTCTCTCCTGCTTCTTTTTTTTTGTGTCGTACTAGGGAGTGCCCTACTGATCTACAGCCCCCAACTTTTTTTTTGAGACAAGGTCTTGCTAAGTTGCCCAGCCTGGGCTTAAACTTGTTTGTTTGTTTTTTTTTTTTTTTTTTTTTTTTGGTTTTGGTTTTTCTCTGATACCAGGAACCGAACTCACGACCTTGCGCTTGCCGGGAGGGAAACATTAACAGACATACAACATTTTACAACATATCACAAGCACAATACAGACAATACAGAGTTACAAACAAAGTGGTAGGGAATTTGTTTGTTTGTTTTGTGTTTTTGAGGCAGGGTGTTGCTATACAGTTCAGGCTGGCCTTGAGCTCACTTCGTAGCCCAGGCTGGTGTCGAACTCGCAATGATCCTCCTGTCTCAGCCTCCCGAGTGCTGGGATTATATGCATGTGCCACTATGCCTGGCTATCTCCCTTCCTTCTTGACCTGTATTCCACTCCCTGGCATCCCTGTTTTTCTGCTCTTGTGGGCGGGGGAGGTTTGGAAATGCACAAATGAAGTCAGATGACTCCCACACTGACTCCCATGCCTCCCACCCAGGCACATCACTAGAGGTAGCTCGTTTCTTGTCGCGGGAAGACCAAGTGATCCTAAGGCTTCGGGGACTGCCCTTCTCAGCTGGGCCAACAGACGTGCTAAGCTTCCTGGGGCCAGAGTGTCCAGTGACTGGGGGTGCTGATGGGCTGCTCTTTGTGCGCCACCCTGATGGCAGGCCAACTGGTGATGCCTTTGCCCTCTTCGCCTGTGAGGAGCTGGCACAGGCTGCACTGCGCAGGCACAAGGGCATGCTGGGTAAGCGGTACATCGAACTGTTCCGGAGCACTGCAGCTGAGGTGCAGCAGGTGCGTGCCCAGGGATCCCACTCTCTAATGGGCTGTTTTCCTAGGGCGCATCTTCAGTCACGTGTGCTGGTGCTACTTGGTGTGACAGACCTGTTCTTTTCCTTACTAGGTCCTGAACCGCTATGCATCTAGCCCACTCCTTCCCACACTGACAGCTCCACTGCTGCCCATCCCTTTTCCACTGGCAGCTGGGACTGGGAGGGACTGTGTACGCCTTCGAGGCTTGCCCTACACAGCCACCATTGAAGATATCCTGAGCTTTTTGGGGGAGGCAGCGGCTGACATCCGGCCCCACGGTGTACATATGGTGCTCAACCAGCAGGTGAGGCTGCGGCCAGGAGGGGGTCACGTGGGCAGGAAGGGGTGTGTTATGAGCAAGGCACTCTGCCACACCACAGTGTTTATTCGCTGGTGTGCACAGGGCCGGCTGTCTGGCGATGCCTTCATCCAGATGACATCAGCAGAGCGAGCCCTAGCGGCTGCTCAGCGTTGCCACAAGAAGATGATGAAGGAACGCTACGTGGAGGTGGTCCCCTGTTCCACAGAGGAGATGAGCCGTGTGCTGATGGGGGGAACCTTGAGCCGCAGTGGCATGTCCCCTCCGCCCTGCAAGCTGCCCTGTGAGTGCCCCAGGGTCTGGAGGAGATGTGTGGGGGCTGGGCTGGTGGTAGGGACTCATTTGTGGCTGCCCCATCTTCACACAGATGCACTCTCTACTTGTCTCTAGGCCTCTCACCACCCACCTACGGCACCTTCCAGGCCACCCCAGCCCTCATTCCCACTGAGACAGCAGCCCTGTATCCTTCTTCAGCACTGCTCCCAGCTGCCAGGGTGTCTGCTGCCCCCACCCCTGTTGCCTACTACCCAGGGCCAGCCACTCAACTCTACATGAACTACACAGCCTACTACCCCAGGTATTCTGCTGGAACCCCACAGACCTGCTGCCTGCTTGAAAGGGGGCATGAGTCCTTTCTGGGCCAGATAACCTAAGGTCTACTGGACTTCTATTCTGATATGATAAAGGAGAGACAGGTGTGGGTTGGCTAATGCTGTCTACAAAATAGATTGGAAATGATGGTGTAGAGGCAGGGGTTTTAGGAAGAATTAAGCACAAGGTGGAGGCAACAGGAGGGGAGGTCTTGATCTGAGCTATAGGTAGGATGCACTACTAACCCAGTCTTTCCAATCCTAGCCCCCCAGTCTCTCCTACCACTGTGGGCTACCTCGCCACACCTACTGCCCTGGGCTCTACTTCCACCTCAATGTTGTCTCAGCCAGGAGCCCTGATCCGAATGCAGGGTGTCCCATACACAGCTGGCATGAAGGATCTGCTCAGCGTCTTCCAGGCCTACCAGGTAAGGTTGGATGGCTGGAGGGCTGGAGGGCCTGGCTGACCCTAGAGCTTCCTGTCCTAAGTCTATGTCCCTTTTGCAGCTAGCCCCTGATGACTATACCACTCTGATGCCTGTCGGTGATCCACCTCGTCCCGTGTTACAAGCCCCCAAGGAGTGGGTGTGTTTGTAGATGAGGAAGCCAGGAACTAAGAGCTAGCTGACGTCTTCAGCTACCATACCTTTCCTGCATCCAGAGTACCTTCACTCCAGTGGCTTCTTTCTGGCCTGTCAAAGCTCTCATGAGGCACCCAGAGAAGACCAAGCTCCATCTTCTACTTATTTCTCTGCTCGTTCACCCCAAAGATGGCTACCTTGAATGCAGGGCTGGGGTGGAATGGGGTTATCTTGCTCCCAACAGCATGGCTGGGCCTCTTGAGTGGCAACTGGAAAGCCTTTGATCTGTCCTGCATAGGCCTGTACCCCCAGTGAGCCTGAGAGGGTAAATCCTGGTGCCCTCAAATGTGTGACTCCTACAGAATCAAGGGTCTGAGTCTGAGTAAGGATCCCAGTAATCTCCTCCCCATCTTGTGGGAGGTAGGAAGGCAGAGTCCGTTCCTGCCCTCGGGATACGTGGATTTCAGAGACCATACTGTAAAAGGGGTGGCCTCAACTAAGGATGCTAGCCCTCCTCCAGCCAGGCCCACGAAACACGGAGTGGCAAAACCACAAAGTATTCTGGACTATACTGCAGAATCTTCAGAGAACACTAGGGGGCAGGAGGCCCCCACAGAAAAACTCAGGCTTGAATTTTTAAAGGAAATTTTCTGCCAATCCCCCAACCCCTTTTTGTGTTAGGGAATTGAACCCAGGGCCTGCTGCATACTAGGCAAGTGCTCACACTGTGCCACATCCCCAGGACTTTTTAAGACAGGATCTTGGAAAGTTGTCTGAGCTGGCCTTGAACTTGTGATCTTGCCTCAGCCTCCCCAGTAGCTGGGATTACAAGCATGCCCCTCGGCCCAGCTCTTTTGCCTGCTTTCTTGCAATACCTTGGGGAGGCCGGTTATCCTGAACTCCGCAAACACCATGAAATGTCCTTTATACCCATTAAAGGGTGCAGAACTCAAGCCTTAGGAATTTGGAACTTTACTCTCTCCTGTGTAAAATGAACAAAATTTCCTGACCAGGTGGACTTTTAAAAAGCCACAGAGCCCTTAGCTTTGGCCCCAGAGTAAAGGGCTCCACACTAGCCCCAGGCGGAGAAAAACTCGGATTTCATGGAGACTGTTCATCTGTCACCGTTTATTATTTCAGCACTATAACTGAGGAGGAGCCTGAACAGCTGCCTCTTCCCTTTGTATTTGTGTAAGGAGTACTGCACTCCTATAAAAGGTTTTAAAATATAAAATGTACAAGAAAACACAATCCCAAGTGCTGTAAACATAACTGAGAACCAGTTCCTTTACTGAACATCCATTTTATCAAATACAAGGTTTCAACTTGTGCCTTAAAGATGACATCTGTTCTGAGTGTCACAAGCAGGGCTTCATGGCCAGGCCCAGCAGCGGTCTGGTGATAATGGCTGGCCCTGGGTGGGGGTGGGATAGAACCTGGGCAGCAGCACTGCATGCAAACTCAACTTCTGTTGCTTTTAAAGCTGTTTTCAGCCATATTCTCTGTATCTCTAGTAAGCAGAAGGCTGCTTGTTCCACTCCCCAATCTAAAACAGCACAGGTCTGAGAGGGAAGGGTATGTGCTGCTACTAGAAGTCAATTTGCATAGTCCAATGGATGTGTGCTTTAATACTACTCTGTTGCACAAAAATTTAACTCTTCATCTACAAAGACAAAAAATATTGACTCTTACCTGAAAGCTTTTACAAAGCTAATATAAAACAGCTTACATAGTATACAAAGCTCTATTTTAAAATTTAACTTTTATTTTAAATAGGAAAGCGTTGCTAGTGCTACAGGCATCAAGGTATTTAAAAGGCATCAAAATTTGGTGCATAGCAACTCTGGACCACAGAGGCTTTTATTCTTGAGGGCAGCAAAGCAGCCCCTAGAGGGTCTTGCAGGACCCTATGTGAGGCAGCTACCCCAGGGGCAAGGGTAGAAGCTGTGGGCTTCCAACCAAGGCCCTGAAGAAAATCTGACAATCCACATTCAGACACATAACCCACTTTCCAAGAAAATTTGAAACACTCAGCTCTAAGAGGGACCATAGTGATCTGCTGAGTAACACTGTTCTCTATTTTTATGGGAGATATCTAAAACAGTTTAAAAAAAAAAAAAATAAAACAAGACCATACTTCACACAGGATCAACAGCTCCTACCCGGCTGACTAAAGGGGGTGACCAACACATCAGCTCTTTGCTCAGGCCTGACTTGACCTCAGTAGAGAATGTCCTGGCATCCACAATCCACTGGAATAACATCAAGTCTTCAACCAGCCCAACACACTATCTCAGGTGCAGGCACTCAAAAAATTTGCTTCCTGAATGAAGTTTATTATTTCATTTAAGAATGTATTCTACAAACTTCAGGGCTTTTGAAATAGGCCTAGAAACAAGTAACAAATCCCACTGGAGGCAGGCTTAAGGGCAGGATTTGGAAAAAGTACCCAACTTGGGCACCTCCTTTGGTAGATAGCAGGCTAGAGTTTCTGCTGGCCTCTGCCTTGGATGCCAGTCACCAGCAGCAGCACCAGGGCATCTTTGGTGTGGAGGGTAAGGTCTATGATGCCACCTCATTTTAAACATGCCTCAGTGCCTTCTGGAAAGGCTGGTGTTTAGGTCATACACATGGGACAGGGTAGGCCAGAATGATTTCAAGCTGTAAAGAGAATGGGAGATAAGCCTTCCCATCTGGAATTCTGCATTTTTCTCTGCCCATCCTGATGCACAGCTCATCTGTGTTAGCTCCTGACACAGCTAGGTTGGCCTCTAGAATAGTAACAACTGCAAAGCTGCCTGGCCATCAGGAGACTGGCTTCAAAGGTAACAGAACCCCAAAGGCTGATGTTCCTGCTTGGAAAAGGATCTGGGGCCAGACAACACAAATAGAGCACTAGTTTTTAGGATGGCAATAACATGAAAGTTTCCAAGCTAAAACTGCTTGGTGACTGCTATCAAAGTCACCTTGCAAGTAGCCATCTTACCTATAATCTTGAAGAAAAAAAAGCAGTTTCAACATGGAGCCAGTAAGAGACTGCAGGAAGATGACCTAGAAAGTTATAAAAAGGCTATGCTCTGGAATGTCTTTATATTCCAACACTTGAATGATGGAATGGTCTCTTCTCATTTTATCTAACAACAATTTATTTTTATAAAGAGTATGAGCTACATTTGGCTTTATTTCCTATGAATCTATGGCTTCAGGACACATGCTGAGTTTCTGAGGCATAGCTATGGACTTAGGATAATTTTTTTTCCCATTTGCCTCTGGAAGGTTTTATCAAAAGTTCCTATTTTTAAAGTATCAAAACTAAAGGGCCCTTCAAATGACCAGAAAATACAAATCACCAATCCTAGCTACACAACCAAGTGATCTGCAAAAGCAGCAGCTCTGAAAAGGAAAGCCTGCTGCATTCACACTCAAAGCACCCATCATATAAAAGTATCCTATTTAAATATAAAAAAATGCAAAGCTCAGTTTTCCACAGCTCAACAGCCCATGCTGCTCTGATTCTTTTACAAAATCTAAACAAGGCCAGAGGTGGAGGAATGCCACTCTCCACAAATGCTGAGTCCAACCCCTGGCACCGGTCCTGAAGGTGAGAGTTGCAAACTCAAGGTCCAAAAGAGAAACATGCTGAGAAGTTGGTGGTGGACACAAGGCTGCAGCAAGCACGGTCAGAGCTGGTCAGATCTTCCTCAATCCAAGGATGCAGGACCCAGGTGAGAAGCCTCTCTGCTAATTTGTGGGCCTTGGGAAACAGAAACCTGGGACATATCTCTCCCAATTATCTCGTTCACTGAAAAGAAAAAAAGAGCAATTAGTGACTTCTGAGTGACACCATGTGATGGTCTATGCTGACCTCTCTGTCATTTCCATCCCCATGGCTTCTTTTTTTTTTTTTTTTTTTTCCCCCCCCTGTCTTTTGGAGACAGGGTCTCGCTATGCAGTTCAGGCTGGCCTTGAGCCCACTTTGTAGCTGAGGCTGGCCTTGAACTTGCAACAATCCTCCTGCCTCAGCCTCCCGAGTGTTGGGATTACAGGCGTGCACCACCACAACCGGCATCCACCCCCATGGCTTTTGGGAAAGATAAAGGTAGTATTTGAAGCCTGCACCAGAGCTGCGTGGCATTAAAGACCAGTATCACTGACCAAGAGGCTCCAGACCCCTTTCTCTCCTCAATTCAGTTTGGCTGGAAAGGGGAATAGGGAATGGCTGAGAGAATAGGAAACATTCTTTTCAATTTTTTTTTTTTTTTTTGTGGTGGGGGACAGGGTCTCATTATGTAGTTTAGGCTGGTGTTGAACTTGTGGCTATCTTCCTGCCTCAGCCTCCCAAGGGCTGGGGATTACAGGCGTGTACCACCATGCCTGGCTTTCTTTTTTACATTTAATCCCTGGCAATCCCTTACCACTGAGCTATATCGCTGGTCCTTTTTTACTTTTTACTTTGAAACAAGGTCTTGCTAAAAGACTAAATTGCCCAGGCTGGGCTCAAACTTTTTTTGTGTGTGTCTTTTTGAGACAGGGTCGTACTGTGTAGTTCAGGCTGGCGTTGAGCTCACTTTGTAGCCCAGGCTGGTCTCCAACTCCCAACGATCCTCCTGCCTCAGCCTCCCCAGTGCTGGGATTACAGGTGTGCGCCACCACACCCAGCCCTCAAATTTGTGATATTTCTATCTCAGCCTCCCAGAGTGATGGGACCATAGGCATGCAAACCACCCTTCCTGGCTTTTTTTTTTTTGAGATGGTGAGTTCCATCTGGCCTTGATCTCATGGTCTTGAGTAGCTATGATTACATGTATGCACCACTTTGACAGAACAGAAAACATTCCTATACTCACTCCAAAGGCTCATGCTCTAGAGCAGAGGATAGGATACCTTTCAAGTAAAGTGTTCGCCTTAATCTAGCTTTTCCTTAATTTGAATTCCTTTGGGGAAGTTTTCTGGTTCCCACAGTGCCACTTACTATATAAAGGAGATGAACATGGAAGATTTGGCCTCAGCAAACGAAAGATTTGGGGGCTATTCTGTTATGCTATCTCAGTACGAGCACCCTTTATTATGTGGGGATATTTGCACTGTTTGTGGTCCTTTCTAACTGCATGCTCTTTCTGGTAGTTTCTCTGATGTGCCAAGTCACTCAGGGAGGACAGTTTTCTGTGAGGCCCAGTGCAAAGAATTTCCATAAGGAACCAATAAAGAAGGGAAAGAAAATCTCAGATCTCCCAAATAGCCTTTATTTCTGCTTTTCACATAAAAATGTTAAGCTAATTCCACTTCTAGACATATACACAGTAAGTATCTGGGCACACCTATAATCCCAGCACTCAGGAGGCTGAGTTGGGATTGCCATGAATTTAAGGCCAGCCTGGGCTACATAGGGAGGCCTTGTTTCAGAACAGACAAAACAAACAAAAAGCCAAAGAAGATATAAAAAAAGATAAAGATGTAGTTTGAGGTGGGCATGGTGGCCTATGCCTGTAATCCCAGCACTCGGGAGGCTGAGGCAGGAGGATCTTGCAGTTCAAGACCAGCCTGGGCTACCAAGTGAGCTCAAGATCAACCTGAACTGCATAATGAGACCCTGTGTCAAAAAGAACCCCCCCCCAAAAAAGAGAGAGAGATGTAGCTTGACTGTGGTTGATACTGAAGATTAATCAATGCTGGAGCACTAATAATCACCCATAAACCAGATTTTTCAAGTACTTGGAACAGAAATATGAAGGGCTTTGTCAAATAATTTTTAAATAAATTTTCCAGGTTAAAAGTTTATTGACCATTCATAATAATTGTTTGCAAAGAATGTAACCCAGTTTTATTCCTGGCTAGCTAAAATAACCACTGGGCTGGGCATGGTGGCACATGCCTGTAATCCCAGCACTCAGGAGGGTGAGGCAGGATGATCCTGGCGAGTTCAAGACCAGCCTGGGCTACAAAGTGAGCTCAAGGCCAGCCTGAACTGCAGAGTGAGACCCTATCTCAAAAAAAAAAAAAAAAAAGAAAAACAGAAACAAAATATTGTAAGTATCACCATTATGTTTTCCAAAAGGTTGGGAGGTCCAGAAAGGCAAGGATATTATTACTAAGAAAACATTAAATTATAAGGACAGGGCCTGGAACCTCTAATCCTAGCTACTTGGAAGGATGAGGTGGAAAGATGCCGAGTTCAAGCCCAGCCTGGGCAACATGGCAAGACGTCATCTCAAAAATTAAAAGGAAAATTCTTATGACTGAATAAATGAATTCTAATTTTACACAATCACTTGGAAGCTATTTGGAACTTTTTTTGTTTTTGTTTTTCTTTTTTTTTTTTTCTCCGGTACCGGGAACCGAACTCATGACCTTGTGCTTGCCAGGCAGGCGCTTTGCCGCTGAGCTAAATCCCCAGTCCCTGCTATTTGGAACTTAATCAATGAGTTTATTAGGTGGTAGGTAGGAAGGAGACTAGAGAATCTTATAATACTAACATATGGGCTGGGGATTTAGCTCCACGGTGCAACACCTGCCTGGCAAGCATGAGGTTCTGAGTTTGACTCCCAGTGCACCGCCCCCACCAAAAAAGACTAACGTATGGCATCTGATTTTGACAATGTCTATTTTAGGTAAGCTTTACAGCAGGGGCAAAAAGCCAAAAATATAGCAAGCATCCAACTCATATTCAAGTCAAGTTCTGTGATCACATATCCCTTCCATGAGTAGTAACTTCAGAAATATTCCGGGCTGCCATGAAACACACTTTTTCAATTTATATTTTACTGTTCAAGTTTTAAAACAAGCTGATAAAAAATAAACTGGTGCTTGATCACTACAAATCACATCATGTCTGTTCTGTCCTGGTTTTTTTTGGTTTTTTGTTTTGTTTTGTTTTGAGAAAGGATTTCGCTGTGTAGTTCAGCCTGGTCTTGAACTGGTGACCATGCTCCTGTGTCAGCCTACCCCGTGCTGGGATTACAGGTGTGCGCCACCATGTCCAGTCTGTTTTTCGTTTTTTAAAGACAAAGTCTTGCTATGTAGTCATTACCAGTGCTAACAAGTTATATAGGTCACAGCATCTGGCCCACTTCTGGCAATTATCATCTTTAAATTCTTCTCACTCCAACACCTGGATTTGGCTGTTACCACAACGAAAGTAGAATAAGAACTATCAGGAATATTTGCTATTAAAAAAAAAAATCAACTTTTTAATCCAAGAAATGTTCAAAGTATCAGTTGTTGGAATGCCATTTCTGGACATAAGATTGAGATGTTTGAGCTGGGAGGGTGGTGTAAGTCTGTAATCCCAGCACTGAGACTGGAGAATCGCCATGAGCTTAAGGCCAGCCTAGGATACACAGTGAGACCCTGTCTAAAAAAAAAAAAAAGTTTGAGGCCAGCCTGGGCTGTTCTGAGTTCAAAGTCCACCTAACATACACAGCAGGACCCTACTGAAGAAAACAAATACGAACCAAAACATGACAAATAAATAAAAAAAGGTAAAATTCATTCTCTGGGTAAACAATTTTATGGGGATATTCTTTTTTTTTTTATAAAATGAAAGCTATATGTAGATACAATTATTTTCTGAATTTCACTGGAAATGAAAAGACAAATTTATAATGGAAAGAAATACTAACTAAATGATTTTCTGTTCTTGAGACAGGGGCTCACTTTGTAGCCCAGGCTGGCCTTGAACTCAAGGCGATCCTCCTGCCTTAGGTTCGAGTGCTGGGATTATAGGCGTGCAACACCTCACCCACTACCCTAAAATGATTTTAAATGGATGAGAAATCTAGTATTACTTTATGGTTTATTACTCTAATGTAGTTTTGCTAAGATTTAGCTTTAGGTTATTTAATAAGTTTTTTTTTTGTTTTTTTGTTTTTTGTTTTTTGTTGGTTTTGGTTTTTCTCAGGTACCGGGAACCGAACTCATGACCTTGCGCTTGCCAGGCAGGCGCTTTGCCGCTGAGCTAAATCCCCAGCC